CAGAAAAGATTCTGTGAAACTACTCAAACCCAACTGTACTGGCTGGTTTTGTGTGTCCACTCGACAGAAGCTGGAGTCACCAGAGAGGAAGGAGTCTCAATTGAGGAAATGCTTCCATGAGATCCAGCTGTAAGGTATTTTCTCAATTAGTGATCCATGCGGGGAGGGCACAGCCCATGGTGGGTGCTGCCATCCCTGGGCTTGTGGTCCTGGGTTCTGTAAGAAAGCAGGCTGAGCAAATCAGGGGAAGCAAGGCAGTAAGCAATACCCCTCCGTGTATCAGCTCCTGCCACCAAGATCCTGTCATGTTTGAGTTCCTGTCCTGACTTCCTTCAGCAATGAACAATGCTGAAGTGTAAGCCTAATAAACCCTTTCCTCCCCAACTTGTTTCATGGTCATGGCATTTCATCACAGCAACAGAAACCCTAAGTCACCAACCAACCAGAATATTGGGAGAAATGTATATTCTAATTAAAGGGCTTAGAAGAAAAATTTTCCCAACTCATTTACTATAGATAATCTTTGTGTTTTAGCACAAGATGCTAAACAAAACCATTTTATCTGTTGACAGGAAAGTCAATGTTTCATGGGTTAATGACAACCAAGTATGACTAAACAGTATTTAGGATTCAGAAACTAGGCAGCCAAGTAGGTTCAGCAAGTAAAGGTGCTAGCTTCAAAAGTCGGCTGAGGGGCTGGAGAGATGGCTCAGAGGTTATGAGCACTGGCTGCTCTTCCAGAGGTCCTGAGTTCAATTCCCAGCAACCACATGGTGGCTCACAACCATCTACAATTCAATCTGGTGCCCTCTTCTGGCATGTAGGCAGAACACTGTATATGTAATAAATAAATAAATCTTTAAAAAAAATAAAAAAGTCTGCTGAACCCAGAAGCAGAGAACTGAATGTGCAAAGTTGTCCTCTGAACTCCATACACAGGCCAAGGCATAATCACCCATACACATCCATCATGCATGCACACTCAATAATAATAATAACTTAAAAAAAAAAAAGATTCAGGCCAGGCGATTAAGGCACACACCTTTAATCCCAGCACTTGGAAGGCAAAGGCAGGCAGATCTCTCAGTTCAAGACCAGCCTGGTCTACAAAGTGAGTTCCAGGACAGCCAGGGCTGTTACACAGAGAAATCCAGTCTCAAAAAACCTGTAGCTAAGAATTTTTTATGTGTATATGTGTGTGCTTTCCTAAGTTTATGAGCAGCACATTCATGTAGGAACCCAGGGAAAGCAGAGGGTGGTGACTGATCCCTGAAGCAAAACATACAGTTGTGAAGGTACAGACGGGATGTGGTGCTGGGAACCAAACCTGTGCTCTGCAAAAACTAATTCCTCTTAACCACTAGGCCATCATCTCTCCAGTCCCATGGGGAAAAAACAACTTTCTAACAGGAAAATTCAATAGTGATTATACTTGCCTCTTTCCTAAACACAGGAAATCCAACCTGAAGGTTTTAATTAGTCAAATTATAGTTAAATAGCCTTTCTTGTTTTGTTTTAGTCTGGTTCAGCCTTTTTGTTGTTTTCATTTGCCTTTTGGTGCTGGTTTTGATTTTTCAAGACAGTATTTCTCTACGTAGCCCTGGTTGTCCTGGAATTCCCTCTTTGCTTACTTGCTATATATGACTTATCACTTAATTTACACTAATTGCTAACAAATGCTTATCTTTTTTTTAAGATTTTTATTTATTATGAATATAACATCCTGCCTCAATATATGTCTGCAAGCCAGGAGAGGGCACCAGATCTCATTACAGATGGTTGTGAGCCACCATGTGGTTGCTGGGAATTGAACTCAGGACCTCTGGAAGAGCAGCCAGTGCTCTTAACCTCTTAGCCATCTCTCCAGCCCCCAACAAATGCTTATCTTCTATCAAGTAAATTAATCAAATGTATACAACTATCAACAAGAAAATCTGATTATTTATAAGTATGCAAAATGAAATTAGTGGGAATTTTCTCTTTCACTGTTTCCTGGTCCCTGAATGAATAAAATAAGAATCTATGAGTTGTGCATATTGTGGTGATTTGAAACTGGGAAAGGAGAGGCAGATTTTTGTGAGTTCAAGGCCAACCTCATCTACAAAGCACATTCCAAGCCAACCACAGCTACCCAGTGAGACCCAGTTCTTTTTAATCTACTCATTCAACCCAAGAATACACAGGTTTTTTTTCTTCTTCTTCTTCTTCTTCGAGATAGGGTTTCTCTGTATTGTTTTGGAGACTGTCCTTGCACTCCCTCTCTAGACCAGGCTGGCCTCGAACTCACAAAGATCCACCTGCTTCTGCCTCCCGAGTGCCGGGATTACAGGCGTGCACCACCTACAGATATGCAGTCCCTAGATAATACAGACCCACAGTTCTAAAACAACTAGGATTTGTTTCAAATTACATTACTCCCCTTCATTATTTCCTCTAAGCATTAAATATGCTCATAGAGTCTGTAAGACAGCCAGGGGAAATGTTTTAAAATTCAAATTTTGAAATGCAGTTGTTGGTTACTTTAACACCATAAGGAACTTTTAACAGCATCAGGTGCAATGATGCATGTCTGAAAGTACATGAGGTACAAGCAGATCAGACGTTTAAAATTGGCCTCAACTGGAGGCCAAAATATTACTAGGCAGCCAGGTGGCGGTGACACATGCCTTCAATCCCAAAGCTCGGGAGGCAGAGGCAGAGGCAGGTGGATCTCTTTGAGTTCCAGGCCAGTCTGATCTACAGAGCAAGTGCCAGGACAGACCCCAAAACTACAAAGAGAAACCCTATCTCGAAGAAAAAAAAATATATATGAATATATGTATGTATGTATTTGTGCTAGTCATTATGCCTAAATTCTTTAATTACATTTTATTTATTTAGTGAGTGTTCACATGTACAGTGCACATGTGGTCAGAGAATAACCTGTAGGAATTAGTTCCCTCATTGCACTAGTGGTGTGGGTCCCAGGAATCAAATTCTGGTTGTTACAGGCTTGGGTGGTTAAAAATGCCTTTATATGCTGAGCCATTAGGCTGGCCCATCATGGATAAATTCTATGTCAACTTTCACACACATTCACAGCCATCTAAGCTACTCATAGAAGCAGGAAGGGATGAACTTCATATTTCTGACATACAATTATTATTCATTTTGGGATTTTTGTTTGGTTGACTGGGAAAAAACCTCCAACTCAAAATCCTCCTGCCTCAACTTGACTCCACAGTGCTAGATCACAGGTATGTACCATCAAGCCTAGCTCCATTATTTTGTTTTAGTTAGTAGTTATAATTCTTATTTAGAAAATCAATTCATTTTTATTTTGGGGGGGTGGAAGTTTGAAAAAAGGTTTCATGTAACTCAGGCTGACCTTCAAATTCAATTCACTATGTAACCAAGCATGAACCTGACTCCTGTTTTGCCATCACTTCTAAATGACTATCATCATGCCAACTCAAAAAAATTTTTTTTCTTAAAATCCCATTTTGAACAGCCCTAGGAATTAGGGTTAAACTCACAGAAAGCACAAAAGTGTTCAATCCCTAGTATCAAAACAAACAGGTCTTATTTACTAAACACTAAGAAAATTATTCTGGCACACAATCACACCTACCTTTGTTTTTCTTATTGTTATGACTATCACAGGAACAGTAAACTATTGCAAATAAAACAGCATGTTGGTACTGGCCTAATGCTTATGTGGAATTTTTTTCGATCAAACGCTCCTTCACTCATGTGAAAGCCGCACAGAAACTGACTTGCCATTTGCATGGATGCTAAGTACCTGATACAGGTAACAAGCCCTTGAGTTTTAAGTCCACTTCTCGAAAGCAAAACTTCAAACCACGCCGTTTTAGTCCGTTAGTTTTTTTCTTCACCTTTCAAAAAACATTCCACTTCATGTTCAAATTTGAAGACTGAGATTGGCTAAAAGATTCTTCAAACACTATTATTGATTTCCTCCCCCTCCCCTTTAGATTTCGCAATTAAAACTTTCAATCACTTCAGGAGCATACCCATACTAGAGCAGTAGTGACAGGTAAAAAAGACAGGCGAAATCGCACCCATGAATTTATGGTGGGACTATTTGGCTTCCATTTAGTACTTTTACTACCTCGTTTTGTGTCTTCAGAAAAGCCAAAGAACCCAAACTTACTCAAAAAAACTTGCAAAACAAACAACCAATTTAAGCCAGTTCTTTTATCTCCTAACATGGAGATAAGCGCGGGTGGAAAACGAACTTTCCTAATACTTGTCAGTGCCTCAAGGTTGTTCCGATTAAAAATAAAGCCTTTCAACTCCAAGGCCGCACCGCAGCATTCCAGCACTTTAAAACTGAATAATAAAACATCCACCTTCCCGCCGATCCGGGCCCGTTAAGACTGTCAGTCTCTCGGCTCGGCTTCCCGACTCCGGGGCGCGCCGCCGCCCGGCACGCCCTGCCAGGCACAGGGCGGAGCTGGACCGGCCAGACCACCGGGCCGCCGGCACCACGCCGTGGGCTCCCGACTGAAGCCGAGAACGCCGCCCGCTCCAGGAGCCCGCGGCCCCGGACTCGGAGCGGAGGCACCCCGCGGCGCAGCCCCCGTCGCCGCACGAGGAAGGGCGGCGGCAGGGACGGGTTCTCACCCCCGAGCCGAAGCACACTGGGAGGCGGCGTGAGTGACCACGGAGCGGGTCCAGGGAAAATTGGACGCCTCACCTGCTCCTCTCGAGGCCACCGCTGCCGTTCGCTGAGGGGACAACATGGATCCTCCGCCTTCGGCAGAAGAAGCAAGGGCGCAGAAGACAGGGGCTGACTGAGGAGGCCTTAGGGGAGGGGAAACAGGCGGAGCCTGGACTTCGAGAGGAACCGAGGAGGAGGAGCGCGCGGAGCCAGAGCCTACTGCTCGTGGAGAGCCCGACCGACGGCGCAGGGCGTGGCGAGGGCGGGAAAGCGCACGCGGCCGAGTCCCGCCACTGTTCGGTGCGCGTGCGCTGGACCGTGTATCACGACGCCGTACCTGTGACAGCGTACTGGAACCTCGGGTCCATCGGGAATTGTAGTCCGGCGCTCTCTGGGCCCGGCCCCGCTGTCCCTAGTCTTCGCCCTCATCCGGGGCGAAGAGAAAACGGAGGGGGCGGGGCCGAGCGACTCTTCTTACCGCTGAACTACAACTCCCAGCAGGCCTTGTAAAAGGGGGGAGAATGAGGAGGGCTCTCGGGAGACCCAGCCTGGCGCCTTTGGCGGAGACCAGGGCCGGGCTTTGGCTACCCGGTTCCAGCCGGGAGCCCCCACCCGGCCCGTCTGATGGCTCTGGTGTTCCTCGCTGTCCAGGACTACAGGTGATGGGCTGAAAGGCCACAACCTGGGATGACGTGAGGCTTTGATGATTTTGACTTCACAAGGACAGGCCATCGTGACTTCATTAGTACCAGTGTCATCATCACCCGCAATTCCTGTCCTCGACTAAGTCTTAAGTGATTCATTACCAACAGTTAAGAAAGACCTTACTGCTTGCCTGAACTACATAATGAGTTAGTGTACACACACACACACACACACACACACACACACACACACACACACACACACACACACACACGGCTGGAGAGATGGCTCAGTGGTTAAGATCACTGACTGGGGCTGGAGAGATGGCTCAGCGGTTAAGAGCACTGCCTGTTCTTCTAGAGGTCCTGAGTTCAATTCCCGGCAACCACATGGTGGCTCACAACCACCTTGAATGAGATCTGGTGCCCTCTGCAGGCAGAAGACTGTATACACAATAAATAAATAAAATATTAAAAAAAAAAAAAAAAAAAAAGATCACTGACTGTTCTTCCAAAGGACCTGGGTTCAATTCCCAGCATCCACATGGCAGTTCACTCTTGTCTGTAACTCCAGTTCCAGAGGATCGGGTATCTTCACACAGAGATGCATACAGTCCATACATGGACATAAAAATAAATAAATCTTTGATCGGGCAGTGGTGACACACACCTTTAATCCAAGCACTAGTGAGGTGAGGCAGAGGCAGACGGATCGGATCTTTGTGAGTTCAAAGCCAGCCTGGTCTACAGATCGAGTGCTGAGCTACAGAGAAACCCTGTCTCGGAAAAAAAAAAAAAAAAAAAAGACCTACTGAGTCAGAAGCTCTGGAGGCAAGGGAAGCAATGTACTAAGAAGCTGTCGCGTTAACTGATGCAGCAGAGATTAAGAACTACAGTTCTAATACAAACACACACACAACCTTTAGCATGACCGTTACTAGAGTTTATCTATTTTAAGCCATAACCCACCTTTTATTAATTTTAGGCTTATAGGACCTTGTTTAAAAGTTGCTTTACAACGGGCGTTGGTGGCGCACGCCTTTAATCCCAGCACTCGGGAGGCAGAGGCAGGCGGATCTCTGTGAGTTCGAGGCCAGCCTGGTCTACAGAGCGAGTTCCAGGACAGCCTCCAAAGCCACAGAGAAACCCTGTCTCGAAAAACCAAAAAAAAAAAAAAAAAAGTTGCTTTACAAAACAGTTGTTGGAAAATGCTTTTATTCATACTTGACACATGATTGTGGGAATACAGTTTGCCTCAGCTGAAGAACACTGCTTTCTGAGTTCTAACAGATCCTAACAGATGGAGGTAGCTATCCATCCTCTCCCAGTCACCACCACCTGTCCTCACTATTGTCTCTCTCATCCAGCAAATATTTCTACTTCCTTCTGCCTAGCCACAGCTTCCCTCCAACTACCTCTAGACCCCGCCAAGCCTTCCAGCTATCATTACTCCTAAGTGATTAAGCCAAAAGTAATGAAGATTTAGCCTTCCTAAAGAAGTCCTGTTTACACTTCTTTAGTCCTGCCCCTTTCTGATCCCCCACACACCTCCAGCTCTCAAGACTGTTGGGACTCTCGTCCAGCTTTTAGATTTAAACCTGGATTAGAACTTCTAGGCTGTTGTGTAGTTGTTTCTTTTAAGATGAATGTGACCATTGCTGTCTTGAATCAGCAGCTGTGATCAGCCACAGGAGACTCTCCTCGTGAGGGGAGGTACATATTCAGGAGCTTTCATGAGCTCCTCAGACCCACTGTTCCCAAGGTTGTAGAAGAAGTGGGAAACTGACCAGAAAGAGGAACTCTTCCATTATCGAAGCTACCCATAAGTGGCCCAAAGAACTCCTCAATGCTGCAGGTGAGACTCTTAATTTGTATAGTTGCCAATAAATTGCCCAAGCGACTTCCTGGTGATGCAACTGCCTTTGAGTCACCCATGCACCTATAAGTAGCCCTATAAACTCAATGCTTCACTAAGCTGGACTTGGATAGGATTCTTTCCTTGGTCTGTCAGTGCCCTTCCCCGAAGGATGAATAGGCCTTTCTTTCCATCTCCCAAGAAAAAATCGTGCAGCATAGGCCAACCTTGTCCAGCAAGAATCTAGAAGTACACATCAGGGGAAGAAATTAATTCAGAAGACAGGACCTACAGGGCATGACACAATCCATTATGTTACATGCTCAAATAGAAGAGCCAAAGGTCAATGGTTGGTCACAATTGCAAACACTATTGGGAAAGAATTTAAAATCACCCACACATCCAATCATTCTCCATTTCCCTTTCCTAAAGTATATTTTTCTTTTAATGATTTTGTGTGTGTGTGTGTGTGCAGGTACATATATGAGACAGTACACAGGTAGAAGTCAGAGGACAACTTTTCAGAAGTTGATTCTCTCCTACATCTTTAAGATTTATTTTTAGGTGAGCAGTGGTGGTGCATGCCTTTAATCCCAGCACTTGGGAGGCAAAGGCAGGCAGCTCTCTGAGTTCAAGACCAGCCTGGTCTAGAAGAGCTAGTTCCAGCAGGCTCCAAAATTTACATAGAGAAAACCCGTCTCGAAAAAAAAAGAAAAAAATTATTTTTAATTATTATGTGCCTGTGAGTATGTGTACACGAGTGTGAATGTCTATGGAGGCCAGAGATATTGGATCCCTTGGAGCTAGAGTTATAGGTGTTTGTAAGCCACCTAAACATGAGTGCTGGGAACCAAACTTGGTTTCCTCTGCAAGAGCAGCAAGCGATCTTTAACTACTGAACCATCGTTCCAACCTCTCCACCTGGTTTTTGAGACACGATCTCTCGTTTCTGGCATTCACTGTCTCTGAAAGCTTCCCAAAGATTGCCCTGTCTCTAACTCCCATCTTGCTGTAGAATGCTGAGGAAATCGTGTGTGTGTGTGTGTGTGTGTGTGTGTGTGTGTGTGTGTGTGTGTGTGTGTGAAACTTGGGTTGTCAGGCAGACAAAGTAAGTGTTTAACTGCCAAGTCATCTTGATAGCTCCTGCACTACATTTCTCCCAGTGCCTTCTTGCTGTCAGATTCCAGTTTTACTTTTTTTTTTTTTTTGAGACAGGGTTTCTCTGTATTGCTTTGGAGGTTGTCCTGGAACTCTGTAGACCAGGCTGGCTTAGAACTCATAGAGATCCGCCTGCTTCTGCCTCCCAAGTGCTGGGATTAAAGGTGTGCGCCTTTATTTGTTTGTTTGTTTTGTGGTTTTTGTTCCTTTTTGGAACAGGGTTTCTTGGTGTAGCCGTGGCTGGAAAATCACTATCAAACATGCTTTCCCTTGGTAAAGGTTGGTTTCTAAACTGTGACCAATCCTGAAATCTATCTGTAATTTATGCCATGTTGTTTCAAAAGTCAAACCTTCCAAGTGTGGGAAAGGCTGACATACTTATATTGGCATCAATGACATCATGTTTGGGTAGACCTAATGCTAGCACTGCTCTTCACTTCCTAACAGGATGGATTTCGGTGCAGTTTCATCGTGAGCTGTTAAAATCAAACAGAGCATCGCCGGGCGTTGGTGGCGCACGCCTTTAATCCCAGCACTTGGGAGGCAGAGGCAGGTGGATCTCTGTGAGTTTGAGGCTGGTCTACAAAGCCAGTGTTGGGGAAGTCCTGTGTATATGTTAATAAAGCACTGTCTGGCCAATAGGAATCTAGATAGGTGGGGCTAGGAATCCAGGAGGATTCTGGGAAGGAGAAACACAAGAGAGTTCGAGATGTAACACCATGGGGTAGGAGCCCGGAACTATTCTCCGGTAAGAGACATACTTAGATTAACAGATATGGGGTAATTACTTAAGCAGAGCTAGCCAGTAAGAGACAAGCAAGGCCAACAGCTTCATAATTAATACAGCGTCTTGTGTGGTTATTTGGGGACTACAATGCGGCAGAGCCCAGGTGACTGGCGGGTGATAAACCAAAGCGGCTAGCAAAGAAAAAGCTTCTCTTAACAAGCGAGTTCCAGGACAGCCTCCAAAACAATACAGAGAAACCCTGTCTCGAAAAACCAAAAAAAAAAAAAATATCAAACAGAGCATCTTGTTCTATAGCAGAATTATGTATGTATTATTAAAAAGAAACAAAGTTCGTGAGTAATAGTTTAACTTATACATTCTCCATTCATTAGTACAACCTTTTCAGTTACTTACTACCTGTTTCAGGCACTGATGCTGTAGTTATTTTGTTCAAAACAAACAAAATTCTGCATTTCAAATTTACATTATAATAGGAAGACAAAAAAATGAAACATTGCCAGGCCTAGTGGTGTACCTTTAATCCCAGTATTTGGGAGGCAGAGGCAGGTAGATGTATGAGAGTCCAAAGCCAGCCTTGTCTACAGATCAAGTTCCAGGACAGCCAGAACTATATAGAGAAACAAAAACAAAACAAAAACCCACAGCTGAAGTTCAAAATACCAAATATTGATTGTCATTTCAGCCTGTCTTCTCACTTGGAGCTGAGTCACCTGACATGACTAGGAGTTGACCTTTTCTTGTGGTTTTCTAGAAAAAGGTGACAGGTGACATGTAGGCACTTTTGAGTGATTAAGCTTTTGAGTGGGGCCAGAGTGATTGACATTAAATCTTAGCACTAATGCTCACTAGCTGTGCAAACTCAGGTGAATTTATCTCTATAAATCTGTTTCATCATCTACAAACTAATTCTAATAACCACAGAGTTTTAGATTAAATTAGATGTGTTTGTCCCTGATGACTGCTATATGGTTAGTCCAGAACTGGTGATTGCTTGGAAAAGTTGAGCAAAGTCATAAATACTCAAAGCACTTACTTTGTGAAGCATAAAAATAGCAAAATTGTTATCCAAAATGACATCCACTATGACTCAAGATTCCAAAGCCTTCCCAAAATAGGACATTTGTTATGTTTCAGGCACAGAGAGAGGCAGTGATGCTGCATAAGATACATTCCTGTCTTCCATAGACTCACATACTTGTGGGGTAAACAGCTAAGTATCATTGCCTATTGATGTTCCATTTGGGACTTACCACCTACTTACAGG